ATCTCTTTTGTATCGTAACTACTTTGGTTTCCACTCTTCCGAACTCGCTTCAACGGTTCCCCTTCATTGACCTTCTCGTTCTCAGACGGGCAGCCATCCTTATCAGAATTCTATCCCGAGGACTGCGAGATTGTGGAACAGTGCTCGCATTTCCGTGTTTCGCAGCTCTCATCACCTTACTCCTCTCAAAAGCAGGATAAACAGATTGAGTCTTACTTGAATGTTCCCCCCCCCATACCTCCTCCTTACAGCATATCGTTGATTATGGGGTTTACCGATTTTGCTGTAAATCACTTTGTGTGTAATGTAAAGGTAAAGTGGTTATGATTTCTTTCCAGAAAGAGGAACCGATTAAAACGCCGCGATCATCTGGGTTGAAAGCTACTCTCAAGTTAAGGAATACTGTGATTGTTGTTTGACGGTGAATGTGACGCACATCAAGCAACTGATGCAACGTAAAACGTTAGATCAATACATCCACGATAGGGCTGGAATCCCGCTTGTTGTCCTTGGATGTTGATCTCTCTTAGAGGAGTCAGAAGTTGAAGTATGGAGGCTGGCATTTTGGCGACAATCGGGAGCAAACTCATTCCGTGGTGGACTTCACAATAGTTGCGATCTTTTCTGGAAAATGGGAACAATCATTGATTCGCTCCAATCAAAAGACTAGCTGGCGGGTAGAACTCAGAAGGAAATGGAAGCGAACCGACAGTAGCGAAGGTTTTGTCATTGTCCATCCACCACTTATCTTGCACAGCATTCCCGATTGTAGATCCGCCGCACAGGGCCGAGGGGATATAGGACAAAGACTTTTGGCACCTAGTGGTTCAATAATCCGGAAACACTGCTTAGGAGAAATTTCAACCGTGGTTCATTAGCAATTTTACTCGATAAAATTATAGTGCCAAACGAAGGTCGTAGATCCTAGAACTACTCACACACTCCCAAATCAGTGATGAAAAAAGTCAACTGCTTCTTTCGGACTTTTTGCTGCTTGTGAAAATCGGGCCCCAGTTCAGTCATTAGAAGATGGAGCAGACGGACAGTAACCAAGTGNAACCAAGTGCATTTGGCTCGGCTTAACACGCCAGGCCCGAGTTTCTCGGTTGCTTCACGTATGAAAAACGGTTTTTTCTTCAAACGGGATTGGTTCAGAGTAGGACACTTTCGTGCGCCGGTTTTGGTTGCCCATTTGGATAAAAATGCGAAATGAAGATCGGAATGTCGAAGCAAATTCAAGTGGAAGATGGGGAATTCATATAGTGGTGTTAGGAAAATAACGAGTGGATGCACCAGTGCCACCGTTTGCGACACCCAGCCATATAACCCAGTGTAGCTAACCATCGGTGACCATCATCCCGAGGTCCCCAGCCAGGGAGTAGGACAAATAGATGCAAGCCCGTGACCACGGAAGGTAGAGAAGAGAAAAATGCTTTCATCTTCAACCCCCAAAACTAAGCTGGGAGAACAAGTGTTACTGTCTTTCTCTTACATGGTGATTAAACAAAAAGAAATCAAGCTTATTGGGGACAGAGTACCCACACGTTATGATGGAAACATCCGGATTACTGTTTTCGATGGCACTAACACATTAGTGATGTGAATAAGTGATCCTTCTACGAATCAGCTGACAGCGACATGGATACCAGTGCACCTAGCATGTCAAGTTGCGAAACCACGGGGACACTTATCACACCATCAAGTCAGTTCACTCGTCATTCTCCCATACAGGGTCATACCTCTGCGGAACACGTTACCGGTGGAAGCAGTCAACTGCACCAACGGCAGCACCTTAACAGTAGGGGTGGATAGTAACGTTCCCGGAGAATAGTAGTTACAGCGCGGCTGCCGTCAGTGAAAACAAAGCAACCCCTGCAAGGCAAAACCGGATAAGAGATTTGCGGTTTTTAATAACGAAAAATAGTATCCTACAGCACGGCGTGCAACCAACCCGGGGCCGTTCATGATACTTCAGGTCCTTCGTCAGTGAGAAAGGATATCCTTTTTGTTTCTCGACCCAAGAGCCAACGAAGGATTCTATGTCCATGAAATCGGGCTGGATTAGGAAGACTGCAGAAGAGAAACATTTGGTGGGCAATGAGGACACTCGTTTGACAATGGTCATTTTACCTTCTGCGAATGCTAGAACGAACCGTCTACAAGCACGGTGTGTGGGGGGACTAAATTTATTCTAATTGGTAAATTTGCATTTCGTTGCTCATGAAGGAAACATGGAGATTGCTTCAAGGATAGATGCAAGAGCAGAGCACCAAAGCTAGCTGAGAAACACGATCGAGCGAACCTAACCGCATACCCAGCAGTTAGTTCATCAGAACCCTCGTTAGTTGCTGGCATCAAACCATGTAAGCAACGAACAATAACAAACCGAGCTGTCTCCAAGATATATGTCACGAGTACAATCTACTCCTAGAGGACATTTTTTCTACCTGGTCATGAATTGGGCACTCGCCTACCTAAACCTTCCTGGATTACACGCAAAGCATTGAAGAACTCACCTTGTGAAACAGAACGTAGGTCAGAAGCTGGGGTGAGACTTGAGCTAGTTTTAGAATTGGCACATGATGCATTGGGTACGTCTCCCTTCGTCAAATTCTGGAAGACCGACATGCATGTATTCCTCAATCAGTGGCTTTCGATCGTTCTATACCATGGGACTGCCTCACCCTGAAGGATGTAGCCGGGAAGTTCATTTGAATATTACAATGAACCAGTAGATAGACCAAACCGAAATGCAAACATCAATTCGCCCGCAGGCGAAAAACCAAGATCGGGGGTATTCTGAAAATTTACTCTGAAGTGAAGGATAGCTTCGGGTAAGGTTCGGTATACGTGCTGCACCTCAAAGGTGCAAAATATCGTAACACGACTGGGTTGGAGCAGCTTCGAACGTCACTCCAACCGGTAGAGGCACTGAATCAAATATTTGCTATCCGCACCCGTGGGACTCGTCACGGATGAAGAGCGCACACACACACAGTGGGCTGTCGGCATCACCTATCCGGAGATACCTCTGGGGCAGTCGCGACTTGTGGAAGTCTGAGCATGCTGAAGTTTCGTCAGTTGTATTACTTAGCGCGGAAACTCGGCCATGTCAGAAAGTGTTGAACACCGCTATTCAGGCTACACTGTCTCGGTTTGATGAGAAACTAGAACAAGTTTTTCGCAAATTTTCAGGTTGTTACAGTTGCCCACTGAAGCAAGCAACCAACCTGGGTACACTGGATTATTTGGGGCATGTGTTAAGAATGTCACCAACTTGACTGACGCATCGAGGGTCGTTACCATGACGGGTTATGGCCGGAAAAAGCAATGGGTTATCGAAGGAAGACTCGGGGGACGGTATAAAAACTGTGTGCGACTCACACAGAACGTGATTACCTATTCGGTAGATGACTTTGTAATCACTGAGACCAAAGCCGAGACAGATGTACCTGTGTCGTAAAAACAGTGAAGCTCGTACATCTCAAATTCCTAGAAACCCATCCAACGGAACTCTCCTATTAGCATTTCCTCAATGTTTTCAACATCCAACTGCTCCACGCCTAAATCCAAATGAGCAAGTCATGAGAACGCAATCGGTATTGCTGCACGAAACGGTACGAGTTAAACTGGAACTGTTTGTGATAGCTCTTTTTGGAGCCGGCGTCCAGCATCAGTACATTATACGGTTAACAGTAATGACCGATCTGGAACAAGGATGATCCGTTGTATTCGACAAAAGACCCCAAAACGATTAGGCACACCATAACTAAAACAGTGCCTGTCTAAGAGCGGATCTAAATCAGACAAACAACATCCTGATGCAGTCCAAAGCTTGCAGCTTAGCCCCACATAAGCAAACGAACAAGATAAACAGAATCATCCGGATAGATTATATAGTAATTCGAATTTACAATCGTCGACCGCGCCTTCCACCCTTACGACGTGTGCTGTCGGTGGGGATAGGTGTAACGTCTTCAATTCTGCCGATGCGCATTCCTGAACGGGCCAGTGCACGTAGAGCAGACTGGGCTGCTGGACTGGGCGTCCGAGCTCTGAAAGAAACGAGTTAAACATTAAATACGACCTACTTTGTGCCACCAGTTGCACGAATTCTGATGTGAAGAGCATTGATCCCCAACAGTCTGCACTTCTCAGCAACATCCTGTGCTGCCAACATTGCTGCGTACGGACTAGACTCGTCACGATCGGCCTTGACTTTCATTCCGCCCGTCACGCGGACGATCGTTTCAGCTCCCGTCGGGTCTGTCACGTGCACGAATGTGTCATTGAAAGAAGCATATATATGGCATATTCCAAACACANATTCACCCTCTGCGACCTGGGGTCCGAGAGAAATCTGCTCCTCAACTACCTTCTTTGCTGTCTTCCTTTTTGCCGCCATCTCCCACGTTCGGTGCCAAAGAGCGCGCTACTGAACACTAACGATTAAAACAAACATGCTCAAGGTTCAGTTCAGTTCAGTTGGTATCGATGACCGTGAAGGCAATTGACAGTGTCCAGATTCTTGCAGTGGTGAGCTCCTTCGCCATTTTCAAATTTCAGGAGGTCACGAAGCCTTCGCATATGAGGGTTCGGCGGGTGGAGACCAATAAGTATAATGTGTGTGTACCGAGCACCACAAGCAACATCCATAGAGGATA